TTGGATTGCAATCCAGAATGTGTGGAAGTCATGTAAAGCCGAATACCGAATAGCATGGGCGGTCTCCATAGCTTTACGCCTCGCACATAAGGAAGAAACGTTGACATGGAAGCGCAATAGATCTGAAAGCTGCGTATGGCCTTGTATGGCCGTGTGTCGTGGTGATTGTGGTTACTCAAAAATCTCCACAAGCACTAAAATAAAAAAGGGTGCTAGATAGGCCTCGCCTTACCCACAAGAATAGTTTGGTCTTCAGGCTGGTAATCCGCGTAATGTAGAATTGTCTTATATGCTAGAGAAGAAAAATGATCTCTTGCTTATTACTCGGTTAACCCACATATTTCGTCTAATTAAGATTTAATTACAGATGCAAACGCCCAAGGTTTGCCTCAGTTTATCATATAGCTATCAGTGATTCGCGCATTTAAGCATCTTACACATATTTCGCGTTGCATAACGACAAAAACTGATGTACTGAGTAACACTAAATAAATAATTAGTAAATAATTACTTCGCACAGTCATAGGTGCAGATTAGGAACACATAGTTATCGCTTTTAATATATGCTAACTAATTAGCACAACAAAAAAAGTAAAAAAATGAGATGCGAAAGTTTGTAGGTTTCTCATTCACTTTGCGTATTTTAGTTAAAAAAGTAAAGAGCGGTTTTTCTACTTCGATATAGACGATCATACTGCAGATTTCAGGTTTTTATTGCAGACTTTTAATGCGGCTCCAAGCAAAGACGCTTCAACATCGTGGATTTCAATGATTCAAGTAACATTTGAGACCGTGCTCTATGAATGTCAATGCCTCTCAGTTTCCGGCACCTTTCATAGAAAATTTTTGCCTTTATCTCTATGAGCCGACATTATTCAATTAGAACTTTTTTTCAACGTAGTAATGATTCGTACATTGAACAATTCACTGACTGAGTGGAACAAAAAAGAAGAATAAGAGTTGAAAAAAATAGTTTGAAAAAAGTATGGTTTAGATAGAATATAGATCTACACACCAAATGTCAATCTATGCAACAAGAGAAATTAATCATAGGTTGCTGAAAAGTTGCCGTTTGTCTATAAAAGTTTGGCAACATGTTTAGCCATGCGTCGATTAATGCAATTGTTGTTTAACGCTTATTTGAACAAGTCATTGTAATAGGATTCTTTTGAAAATAGAAAGAATTGAACACCAGGGTATCATTAAGACAATATATCTGCCCAAAATTAAAGACAAGTTAGGCATTATGGACAGGGACTTTGAACCATCATTAATCGCGGTGAAATTTCAGTTAGCTGAATTGAAATTTGCCCGTCTCAGCTTCGCTGACGTTGAGCCTTCGAATGTAAACTGTAGACGCTGGCGTAAACTTCCCTCAAACCCATATTCAATTAAGGTTAGAGCGAAAGTGAGTTCATAGAACGTATTCGTAACATATTGAATCAAAATCTTGGTATGAAAAAGTGATGGCACGTTGGGTGGTGCGGTTAGTTACATTGGACCAAAAACACTTGAGTACAATCAAAATAACTGTCTGGACTAAAGTACAAGTCGTCCTCTAACCATTGATTATTAAATCACAAAAAGATAGTCAAAGAAAAACAGACTTGGATCAAATGATGAGTTCAAGTTGCGGTCTGACAAATTTTTTTTTTAGGAAAGATATGCTAAGAAATTTGCATAATCCTTGAAGGAGACTCCATTAATATGTAAATAAAAATTTTGCAAAAGAAAAATATTTGTTCCTTTGATCGGAAACTTTTCATGCAAATGTGATTCTGTGTGTGTGATGTAAATGCAAACATTTCACCCTTCTTTAATGTGCCTGGGCATGTGCAAATTCTTTACTTTACTTCAAGGCGTGCATTTTCTTTTTGTTTTTCTATTTAGCCGATAGAAAAATTCTCATTGCAACCCATGTACACTAAGTAATGAAAAGATCAGTAACTTTGCATGTTACGCGCGCTTCCACACATCTTGACTAATTATAACATATTGCGTTACGAGTACGAACATGACGCCGCAGTTTTCTAAGAGAAAGTGTAAGTAGTGCAATACGAGGCTGAAAGCTCTGTGTCTTCGTCGCTTGATACTGCAGGTGCAAGTGCAAATACGAAATGCAAATACTTAGCCATGTATAGGTTATCATATTAAAGCCTTCACAACACAGTTTTCTAGGGGCTTCGAGTAGGTATAGTCCTGTGACCTCAAGCATCATTTTACTTTTGTTCACAACACAGTTTTCTAGGGGCTAGGGGCTTCGAGTAGGTATAGTCCTGTGACCCCAAGCACCATTTTACTTTTCTTGCTTAATTCGAGAAATGGTATTACTAAACCCTTAGAATTAATGAATTGTGGATGCATTATGATATCCAAAGCATAGGCGACCGTAATTGCGTAGTGAAAAAAAACGACGAAAACGCTAAATATTCATGACTGTCCCGTTTGGAGAGATTAGGTGTGTGTGAGGTGCATTATTGTCTGCTCCAATGAAATGCAGCCATCACTAAAACAATCCTACCAAATATAATTGACGCAACTGCGACAAAAAGTGGGCGTGATATGTTAAAAATCATAATAACGGGATTTTTCGGTATGAAGAAATCCGTTCCCTTATCTCAAAACTCGCTCCATTTCTAAGTTGGCATGATCCGCCTGAGTAGCCGAAGGGGAGGAATCTCGACTAGCAAGTCAATGGTCGTGGGTTCGAATCTCAAGTGCGGTAGAGTTTTTAATAAAAGCCGATAGCCTTAGATGCTAGTGCTTTTAAGAGTTTAGTCTTAGAATTTATTTCTCTGGCGAAATTAATAATAATAATAATAATAATAAGTTGGCATGTCCTACACTGCCCGCTTTTACCAATACACGTTACTCTTTCCGATTAACGCGAGATAACGTATTGTTTGCACGAGCGAACACACCAACATGGACCTTGTGGATTTTGTGGGTAGCCTTAAAACACCAGTTATTCCTCCTTCACCGAATTCATATTATTTCTAAACATTTAAGAAGAGTAGTGCCTAGTGATGGATAATATTTTTAATAGTGACTGTAAAACCAATGTTTTGCTACAAAATTAAAAAGTGCGGAACTAATTGATTTACACGCGAGCAGAATAAGAAGGAGCAAATTTTCGGCACAACTCAAATGTTTTAATACCCGCTTTATCCGCACCGGATGATTATATTATTAGAGAAATAAATACGATGAAGGTCGCTTTCTTTATAGATTTTACTAAGCACTTTTGTCGAGTCTCATCCACGTAGTCAATGTCTTAGCAAAACAATTTTGAAAAGTATGAACTTTTTTATAATTGTTATCAATGGCACGAACAGTAGTAATTCGATCAGATCCCCTATCTAAAATATGGATATATATTTTTTTAATTTCGATTAGCAGAACTATTATAAAACTCGACGGGTTTACTGTATGTTTTAAATAATTCACAGTGGAGTTGACATCAAGAATGAAATGACGAGATTGCGCTTTTCTTATTTGCTGCTATTGTGCAAATGGCTATTTGCGGATAGCTGAGATATCTCAAAAGTTGCATAAAATGATGGGGATAACAAGGTCGGGATATCAACCTCATCGATGAAAGCGCAAATGACAAAAAATTATAAAAGCTTTCAAGTTATTTTTCTTGGCACAGCCTGAAGGCAATGCGTGAGCGCACATTACAATCCTCTGGATCAACGATTCTCTTAAATGAAAAGTGAAAGCAATTTTTTTCAAATTTTCCAAAATTCATTTAATGATTTTTATAATGCTCAGTGACTAATGTAATACACTGTGCCCTTACTATTTTGCCAAATTATCGAAAAAATCACAGAAAGTGATGAAAAGAAACCTTTTCACAACATTTTTATATTCGAAAATATTTACAATTTAATCAGCGCGGACATTATTCCGCACACATTTGTAATATTTGAATGAATGGGAGAAATGAAAAGAACAAGTAAGGACAGAAATTAGAAGGACATAGCACATAAATAATTTCTTCTTTTCAAATATTTCTAGGCTATCTTGGAACTTTAGAAATTTTGACAATTAACGAAAGATCTGTTCAAGAATATATATGTGCTTAGTATGTTGTATGAAAGTCGACGTGCCATGTATGCCAACTATTAGTCGAGAAACAAAGAATACAGAAACAGAATAAAATGTCCTGCATGTAACGAATCACTGTTGAGTAGTTGCAGCCTAATGTCTTACTTACTTCACTTTTAACTGCTCCAAGACGCTAATAGATATCTTTTGAGAGTATTTGTGTTCCTTTAAAAGCATTTCTCAACAGAAATACGTCAGTGTACAGTGAGCCTGAGATGGTGAGGAAACGTTTCAATGCTTTCGCTAAGAAATCCTAAATCTGAGATAACGGTATTCATGTCGTTTCGATGGTGATTCGACTATTGAATTATACGTTTTCCTGCCGTTTTCCCTTTCATTTCACAGCAGAAAAGTGCTCTTCCTAGCATAAAATCTTCGATTAAATAGAATGAGGGGCAAGTAAGAAAATTGCAGTCAGCTATGACTATGAAGCGTTTTGTACGCATCACTTGTACGCAGCAAAAATTAAAAAAAAAAAAAAGAAAACCCAAACGAAGTCTTTTTCCGAATCGATATAAGCTGATCCGTCCGTCTGTCCGTTTTGTTTTTGTCTCCAGCCTACTGATCGCAATTTCCAAGAAATTTTGATGAAAATTGGTACGATATCCCCTGGTTCGTCATATCCCCTGTAATGCCTTATTAAAAGTCATTATATGAATAATTGTCGGATGATGTATTTAGTATTTAGTAGTGAACCGTATCCGGGCTTTTACCTGTTTAACTAAAATTCCTGCTAAGTTAAAAATATTCCTTTTTTTTTTTAATATTGAAGTATATACTGAATAACCTTATCATTCCACTCCATCCAACAAGAAAAAAACGCTTCATTTGGATTGCCACATTGATTTTCTTCCTTAATTAGGAAGTTTTTAATAAAAATTTGATTGTATTTCAAAATTTTAATTTTATAAATTACCAAAAATATCTGATAATTTTACATTAAATTTTCCTAAATACGCTTCAGTCCATTTATTAAGTTTCTCTTGACTCTCAATCGATAATTCATCTTTATAAGAGCCCACAATACCACGCCTTATAAATCTAAAAGGAGAAACGGAAAATCCATTATTTGACTTCAGTACAGATTTATATATATATATATAAAAAAAAAAAGAAAAAAAAAAAGAAGAGAAATACCTAAACTCCGATTGTATATTGAAACGTGAAGGGTTAGTGCTGCTAGCCAAAGCCTTAGAAAGATTAACCGTCTGGTTATCTATAATAGAGAAAGTATTTTAGTAATTATTTTGGGAATATTGTTAAAGCTTACTTTTCATATTTTGAAAATTTAAATGATTTAACAAATTGTTTAAGTGGATTTCTGCGAGCGGCGGCTTTTCCAGAAACTCATTGAGTTTCACTAAAACCTGTGACAGGTCTCTTTGCATTTCTTCGTATGAGGTAAAGAAAATGTTTGACTCATGACGTAATTGCCAAAAATCGAAAACATGCGACCAAAACGGTGTATATAATATTTCCGAATTGATGAAATCCTCGACAAACTCATCGAGCGAACCCCGATGTGTGCCCAAACCACTTTGAAAATGATACAAGGAAACGATAACATCTTTAGGATTGCGAGCACAATAAACAATCTATAAACAAAGATTTGGTGACAAGTTGCGAATATATTTGAAGTACACAAATAAAATAAAACAACAAATTTATTTAAAATTTTTATATGAAACCTTATTTTTTTTTTCCCATATCCTCCGAGGTAGGAGATGTGCTGGCATATGAGACTTGAGTAGGCGTGGTGAAGTCATTTCTTGGCTTTTTGCAAGAGGATCATTGTTCGTGTCCGGATGCAAGCATTTAAATCTAAAATTTTTTGAAAAATTCACATTATCTCGCCATGGAATTTATATATTATTATTACTCATCTCATCCTACTTACTCCAAAAATAATGAACGCTGCGAATGTAAATCTTCCGCTTTAGCTTTTTCAAAATCTAAACCATTTATTAGCAACCACAGCGCCTCTTGAATCCAAGTTGTGCCGCTTTTAGGAAAAGTTACCACAAAAACATCATCGCCTCTTATCTCAGTTTCATAAAAAGTTTTGTAATGCTGCTTAGAGCCAGCGGGCACAGTACACCAACGATTTGACCAGTCCACCAAATCCAAAGGAATTTGATGATTTTTGTTAGTCATTTGCAAAATTTTCGTTTTCAAATTATCACCAATAACGCCCGACACCGGTTGAATTTCACGCATCTGATACGTTTCTTTGTCATCGGCCGTGATTTCAGTATGCTCAACCATTACGAGTAAGTAAGCAAAAAGAGCAAAAAACAAACAAGTATTGAATTTCTCGAACGGCGAAAATTAAATCGTTAATCGTTTAGTCCAAAGCTTATGTATCGAAATGCACTGTCTTTAACTGCACTGTCGTTCCTTAAATAAAGAAAATATTCATTTAAAAAAGCGGAAGAAATTTCAAAAAAAAAAACGATTGATATATGTAATCATGCTGAACTTTTAGATAAACCCCAAGAAGTCATTAACTGAGCGAAACGATAGTTTCATTTCGACACTGACAAATAAATATAACGTCAATGTACGTACACACATATATATATATATATATA